GGGGGGGGGGTCACACAAGATGCAGGGAGAAGCCAGCGATGCCCGTGAGATGTGCTGCGGCTCCCGCGGGGGCTTTAACACCTGGGGACCGAGGCCCCCGTTTCGGCCTGCAGGCCACGTGCAGACAGCCCTGCAACCGCCCCCTCGAGGCCGCGAGCCCCCAGGTCCCCACGCACCGCATGAAGCCCGTGTCCGTGGTGATCGTGTCCCCCGGCACCACCAGGTGTTTCTTAGTCTCGCGGCCCAGGCTCTCACTCACAGGCTTGCGAGCGACCGGGAGCCTCATCTCCATCGCCATCTTGGCGCCAAACGCTTGCGCAGGCGCGGCCCGGCCCGGCTAAGCGCCGCGACAACCCGCGCCGCGATTCCCGGCCGCCGCTCGGAGGCGGGGCGCAGAGCGGCAGCCAATGGGAACTCATGGTCTGGCGGCCATGATTACTACTGGCAACAACTAGTTTCACTTAAGGGAAGGAGGGAGCGGAGTAGCCATTTTTACTACGGGCACATCTGCACCTGTGGAGTAAGACCCCACGTTGGATGGTGTTGGGACTTTTTACTCACACGGGCTCGTCGTCATCATCCAGTTGGTGGCTAGAGATCGTTGGGAAACGCACCTCTGCGTTTCCTTCCACCGCAGGTCCGGAGGCGGGAGCTACGGAGAACATTATTGGGACAGAGAGAAGAGCCCCGCCCTCGGCGCTCCTAGCACCGCGCTATCCGGCCTCACGGCCGCCGCCATCTGCACCTCCAGGCGGTGCTCTGGGTGCTGCTTCGGCGCTTCCACAGTCGCTGATTTACTCTGTTTCTTTTGTGCAAACAGTCAGCTAAGGAAACAAGCAAGCCTTGCAAGGCAGGTGCGTGCGGCAGGGAGGGCAAGTGCACACGCAACAGGGAGACCTTCGCTTGTGTTTCCTTCCGCGTGCATGGAGCGCCGTGTGTGCCAGGAGCTGCCCCGAGGACTCGTGGCGGACAGACGGACAGGTGTACGATGCACGTGAGGCTCTACCTTCCCGTCCTGTTGAACAGGAGCGATGCCCCCGCCCCTTCTCCCCACCCCCACCACCCTTGCCCTGCACGGGTCGCAGCAGTCACCACAAGCCTCGGGATGGGAGATGCTCCTTCTTCACGCACGTGGACCCTAAAGAGGGTTAGAGGAAATAAGCTGCATCAGCCCCACTCACCGCGTCCTCAAAATCAGGCTTGCCGCCTGCTGGAGACCCATCAGACTAATTGTTTGATAAATCTCCAAAAAAGACATCATTTCTTTCACCTAAGCAACAAAGATCCTGACTGCAAGAAAGGGAGAGAAGGGCCCCTCTGTTGAGTCCGGCCTTGGCCGTAAGAGGGCGGTAGCCTCCTTGGAGCCAGCCAGGGCGCCAGGCCTGGGAATCCCGGCTGGCCCAGGGTGCGATTCATTCTTCAGAGTTCAGTTTGATCGGGAGAGGGATGGACATACCCTTCACCCCTCCCATTCGCACAGCGCTCACATTTACAGAGCCTGTCACAGGGGGATTATGGATACTGTTTAGTCTGTCCGGGCTGCTGCAACACAATACCGTAGCCCGAGTGGCTTATAAACGACAGAAATCTATTTCTCACAGTTTGGGAGGCTGGGAAGTCCCAGATCTAGGCACTGGCAGATTCGATGTCCGGTGTCCGGTGTCTGGTTCACAGATGGCTGTCTTTCCATTGTGTCCGCACATGGCTCAGGGAGTGAGGGAGTGCTCTCTGGTCTCTTTTATAAGGACACTAATTGAATTCATGAGGGCTCCACCCTCATGACCTAATCAACTCCCAAAGGCCCCTACCTCTTAATACCATCACCTTGGAGGTCAGGATTTCAAAATATGAATCGGAGGGGGGTTGCACACAAACATTCAGTCTATTGCCCATACCCTTTTACAGAAGGGGAGAACCAAGGTCCAAAAAGGACTAGAACGCCCACAGCAGGTGGTGGCAGGGTTGATGTTTCTGCCAGCTGCACCTGCTTTCCCCCAGAGCCTGCACCCTCACCGACCCTTCTGGAGGGCCTGGTCCTTGGCTGAGTACTGTATAAACGTCGTGTTACTTGGTCCTCACACTCGGCCCGTCTGGAAGGTAGGCACTGCTGTCCCTGACGGTAGTTTAGGGTCGCTGAGGTCCAACAACAGACCGGCAGCTGGGACTAGAAGCCAAGACTCCAGACTCCATGCTGGTGGTCCTCTCTTCACACCACGGAGACAGCACAGCGAGCACCTGGCAACAGAGTCACATCCCAGAGGGGCTTGTTAGAAACAGAGATCTCTGAGCCCAGACTTGGACGCTGAGGTTCTACAGTGGTGGGGGCCAGAAGTCGGAGTGTGTGTTTTTACTGCCTCAGTGATTTTAATGACTGATCAGACCTAACGTTCATGGATTCCCACACATCCATCTACCTCCCCGCATGTGTATCTCCAAGACCACCCCCCCAAAACGATCAACCTCATCTCTCACCTGGGCGTCACCTCCTAGCTCATCCCCCTAATTCTGTGTCTGCTCCTCCTACCAATGAATCTCCATACAGTAGCCAAAGGGAGCTTTTAAACACAGGATCAATTTAAACCACTTCCCTGCTGAGAAGGCTTCTGGTGGCTTCGCTTTACACTGAGCATAAAATCCAAACTCATCATTTTGGCCCCTGCCCATCTCTGACGTCACTCACCTCCTAACCTGCTCCCCAACTCACCACACTACAGCTGGAAGCACTGGTCACCCCTCGGTCAGTCTCATCACCACCCCTCTCTGCATGCAGTTCTCTTCCCCCAGGTCCTTGTGTGGCTGGCTGCTTCTCCTCATTCAGGTCTCAGCTCAAAAATCACTTCCTCCAGGAAGCCTTCCCTGACCACCTTGTCTGGAATAATCCTCAGTAGTCTCACACTCTGTGCCACCATCCACCATCCCTAATCACTCCAAGGCCAGGTACTAGAGAGCTGGGCGCAGCGCCCGGGGCTCAGAGCCCACTGAAACTGTTCAAACTAGCCCGTCCTGCAGCTGCTCGCCCTGCCTCGCCCACTCCTTCCCGTGGAAACTGTAGTAAAGGCTCTGTCCACATTGCCTCCTCGCTCCTCCGCCCCTAGTTGTCCCCACCGCTTCCCCGTGTGGCCCCGGGGGTGTGCCCTGCCTCTAGACTCTAGAGGGTTTGCGAGCAGAGCAAAATTTTCACCACGATTCGGGTCGGCTCGTCCCCGTGTCTCCAGCAGGGGGAAGCGTCTGTAGCAGCCGGTCATTAGACGCGCTTGGTCTGCAATTGCCGCTGCTGCCACCAGGTGGGTTCCGGACACTGGGCTGAGCTCCTGCGATCTGCAGCTGGGACTTACAGAAAAAAGCTGTTTAGATTTTTACCCAGGGCCGCGGCCTTCTAGGCCCTTCGTTAGGAATCCAGCATGGCTGTCAGAGCGGCAGGGCCGCCGGGCCAGGAGGGTTTAATCTGCGTCCAGAGAGAATGGCTTCAGGGCAGAGAGCTGTGGCTAGAGGCCTGGGTGGGGGCTGCAGTGGGAGGATGGTAATGCGGGGGCCGCCAGAGGCATCAGAAGCCTAGTGGTGAGGTATCAAAGGAAGGGCAAGGTTTGTGATGGGGGGGAGCAGGAGCAAGGGTGACGTCCCGCACTGGCCGCCGGGGAAGGAAACCCCAGATGGGACATGCAAATGAACACATTAAATGTACATCTCTGCCCATGCCCCCGCCTGCCAGGCTGCCATCCTCCAAAGCATGGCGATCTTTGGGGGTACACGCCTGAAGCTCTGAAGGGGATGGCCTGTGCGCGTTCCAGTATCTACAGGTGTGTGTGCAGGTGCACACATGGCTACATGAGGATGCCAGCGTGGGGGGGGTGGGGGGTGTGCCTGAGGTGGCCAGTAGCCTGAAAGAGTAACACCCTCCTGGCTGGCATGTGCTGGAGCACAGGTGTGAACTCACACTCCCGTGTCATGCCTCCCCTGGAGGGAGGAGGGAGGAGCCAGGGCCTGGGCCTGCACCGATGACCCCTCTGCTCTTCGGTTCTCCTCAGGGAGGGTCTGAAATAGATGCCCAAAGTACTTGGGAATTCTAGGCATTGAGAGGGCACTTGGTGGCCATCTTGGCCTCCCTCACTGACTGCTTGAATTCCTTCAAATTGTCCATGAAGGGGGGGGGGAATAAAAGGAAGTAAAAATTTTGGGGAAGTCACAAAACATGATGCTAATATTTGCAAGTCAGCTGGAAAGCAGGAGTCAGCCCAGCCCCTTCGGAGATTTCTGGTTGCTTTGCACCGTGGCCATCTCTTTGGGAGCTAACAATCCGTTGTGACAGAAAGATTATTCCATACAGATGGCACAACGGTAAATGGGACGACTCCTCCCCCCTCCAGCACCCAGGCACTTTCCATATTTCCTTTTCATGTAGACAGAAGTGTCGGTACATTCAGATGCTAAGTGATAAATGCTCCAAGTAATTTTTATTTTTGAATACAAGAGGTACAAATGTATTTACAGTTATACATATACAGTCAAATAATATATATCACAGTTTTGTAAATATCATTTTAGGTAAATATTTACAAAGTTAAAGTGACCATTTTCTGGAAGTAGAACACAGTTTCTTGAAAACTCTATACATTTTATACTTTTCATTAACATCATTATAGTTTCTTTATCTTACAAAACGCCCCCTGGAAATACTGGTAAATGACTGCAAGGTGGGAGAGATGACACCAGAGGGCGCCCAGGGTCAAGTTCGGGGAAACTTGCGAAGGAGCAGGGAGAGTTCGGGCGAGCAGGGCGGACCCCTCCCCGCCGCCACCGTCCCGCACAGCTAGGAAGGGCTTTCCGGGCAGACAATCCAGTCTGGCCCTCCTCTTGCTGCAGTGTGGCGAGGACCGGCAGGAAAACGTCCCTTTCCCAAGCACGGTGTCAGGGCTGAAGGGGAGGGGGCCTCGGTCCAACTCTCTCATTTTATACATGAGGAAAAGGGAGACGGAGGCCCAAAGAGCGGCAGGGCCTTGCCGGGGTCCCACAGCGGATTTCCGTTTTGCCTGCACTCTCTCAACACGGCAAAGTTTTCGCGGCTCATCCATCCCCAGGGAGCCGGGGTGGGGGGGGCTTGCAGGAGACACCCTTCCCCAGGGCACTGCAGGTCTGTCGGGGCCTCTTCGGGCAGCCCCAGCTCCCACGGTAGTGTCCGTGACTCCAGACACTGCAGAACACTAGTCTCAAGAGGCAGGAGGAGGAGACAGACGGGCGAACGCCGGGCCACACAGAGACAGGGAGGTCGCCGTCCCTCCATTCCCAACTTAGCTCTCGACC